CTGTTTTCCTCTGCACTATTATAATCTCCTTGGACCTCTAGGTTGTGTTCTCAAAATCAAGGTACTTGAGAAAGTAGATGAACTTGTGTGAGGTCTATGACAGACAGTATTATGATAAATTGTGTGTAAACTGCTGTAGTCCCTTGTTAGTGTAAAAGTGGTGGTTACATAATGGTGAGCTTGAAGGCCCTAATGATGCAAAAGAATCTGCATTTTATTCAACCATGAGGCATGCTAAAGAGTCTGAATTTTGTTCTTGTTAGTTTTTGTTTCCGTATATCATCTTGGGCATGATCATAGATGGCTGCAAGGTTAGTAAAGATTAGCCACCTTACTGCAAAGGAGGCTTCATCTTGCTCTGATCACTTTGTTGTCGCTATGAAACTTTAGGAGGGGGCAATTGGGTTAGTAGCTACGCTTTGATTAGGCACCTTACTGCTACCAAAATCTAAGAGTGGTGCACTTGAGACTTCCTTTGTCTTGTCTAGTTTTGCACGTTGCAGTGTCAAAAAAGAGCAACGTGAAATCTCTGGGAATAACTGGTGGAACCAGTTAGGTGAATATTTTACCAGGTTTGTAATCCTGATAAATTATTGCCAGCTTTAGGATCTTTGGTCGAGTTTGATCCCAAATTTCTGGTACTGGTGGGTCGATCCTTTTATCTTGAAAGTTCAGTTGTGCCAATAGTTTAAAGTGGCTGACGTTCAAGTCAGGTGATCATTTTTACATGGTCTGGCATTCATACCGAGTAGCTATGTGTTTAGCTGTCTAATTAGTTGTGCTCATAGACATAGAGACATCACCGCCGAAGCAAATGATTAACCCATTGACAAAGAGAAGGCTAACTGGACATACATGTTGATGGGAAGTTGTCTGAGTGAGGTTGACAGTTCAAGGAACTGCACTTTGGTGTCTGTCTTCTGGGTTGACTTACTGATTAGAACATTTGTACTGGTTTAGGGTGGGATTGCTTGTTGATTGTAAACTTCTGATAGTAGCTCCTGATAATAGGCTTTTTCTATCATTATAAGATACTATTATTTACTTTAGCTAGTCTATTACACCTTCTAGGCATTACAATGGTCTTGAGTGCAAAGGTAAAACACTAAACCAGAGTTGTCGTAGAATATGTATGAGATCAGTTTCTTGTTTGACGTGTAAGCATCTTACATTTGTGACTCTTTAGTAGGGAAGACTGTACATGTGTTCATGGGCCGCAACTCTGTAAATGGTTGCTTTAACGCTGGTTCTTGTTTGGAAATCCAATTTTTAGTCAATATTTTACATATTTATGTCTCAAGATGAATCATTGTGCTGCACATTGCAGCTTTTCTCCAGTTTTCTATGGTGCATGGCTATGGTGTTCAGAGGATTGTCTTTTAGATTGTTTTCATTGCTCCCAGTTCCAGTTAGCTCTAGTGCTGGGTGGATCTCTTCTTTCTAAGAACAGACATTTGCTACGGTTTTACAAGTGACCAATCCAATAGACTTTCATTTTGCTGCAATTGCATTATTATTGATTCTGATCTTCGAAATCAACCATTCTACTATGTTCCTGGTGTTACGTAGAACAGATAGTTCTCCATGTGGGTGGTTTCATGCTCAAGTAACCCTTTCATTGATAATGGCTGGACATTGGGTCTCTTGTGGCACAATTGTCTTGGACCCCCCGTTTTTCTATCTCATCTGGCGATTTCTCAAGCGAAGTATCTATAATGTGAGAAATTGACTTCCATTTTGAATATGTGTTATTATTGAATCTGTGTTCCATTTTGAAGATGTGATTATTCTTGATTTGTTGGTTGCTCCATTTTGTCGCTATGCCCTAAAATATTTGAATCCTTGCTTCCTCTGGATGTGTTAGTTTCTTGCTATTGAGAAATCATCATGCTCTAGTTTTAATTCTCATATCATAGATGGGTAGAAGTGGATTTGACTACAAGAACTGGAACTAGGGCCACACGGGGATAAAAGGTTGGATTGGCTTAAATTAACATCCCATGAACATTTCCTGTGCACTGTTATGCGCTTCCCTTGAACTTCTGGATCAAGTGGCTTGAGAAAGATTTTGATATGTGTAAGATCTGGAATATGAGTATTCCTTATGGTCCAATATCCAAACTTATGCTGAAGTGTTCGTTTAATCAAGCATGCGCACTGCACACTAAAAGATTCTGAATCGTGAACTATCTAGCTCTTCTTATGCATTATCCTGGATAGAGGTTTCAAGACTAGGCAAGGAGGCTGCATCTTTCTGTGATATGTTTTTATAAAATGGCTATTAGTCAATTTTCATTGGGATTAGGTATCTTACCGTTTTTATAAAATCTGAAGCGGGGCACTTTAGTTTAGACTTCTTTATCTTGCCCAATTGCACTGGAGTGTCAAAACAACAACACAACTATCCCAGATCCCAGTTCGAGGAGTATATTACCAGGTTTGCTTTAAGATGCGATGCGGGGGGTTGGTTGTGGATAGGGATGGCAATTTTACCCATACTCATGGGTATTTTACTATTCAACCCAATTGGGTTGGGTATGAAATCCAAATATATGGATATGGGTAAAGTTTGATGGGTTTGTACCCATACCCATTTACTTTGGGTTGGGTTGGGTTTATAACAAATGGATTTGGATTTGTACCCATGCCCAAATACAAATTACAGTTTGGTACCTAAACTTAATAGATATGCCTATTTAGTACCTAAATTTAATTTTTTTTGCATATAAGTCCTCAAAATATCGATGGAAAATACGTTTTGGTACCTTAATTTTTTTGGTCTTACATTTTGGTACCTAAAATTTTCAAGTTTTACAAATAAGTCCAATTTTTGCATGTTTAGTTAAAACACCCTCAAGTAAATGGATATCCATATCCAACTCATACCCATTTAGATAATATCCATATCTAACCCAAACTCATATACAAACCCCAAACCCATACACACAGCACCCAAACCCTACCCATAATAAATGGGTCTACTTGGGTTTGGGCAAAATTACCCATGGGTGGATAAATTGCCATCCCTAGTTGTGGAGCTTGTTTCTCCTATGAATAATCTTTTCATCGGTCGAAAACATTTGTATGGTTGAATGAGTTTGCAGTGGCCACTTCAACCCTTGTGCCAAGTCCAGAAGGGGTTAAGATCCATGTGAGTGATTGTAGGCAGGGTTCCTTCTCAGCAGGATGTCATTTACCAACAAGTTGGTTTCATTTAGGATATTTCTGCCTCATCTCGTTTCTACATGGTCTGGCTTTCTTACTGAGTAGTAGTGTGTTCAGCTGGACAATTGTCAATGGAGAATTCAGTAGTGAAACAATACAAACGAATCATTCTTCGTCCGACTGTTACAGTTTAGATTATATCAATTTGCTTGTTATATGTGTAGCCATCATCCACTGACCGTGTGTTAAGAAGGAAGGAAGCCTCATTCTGCTCTCATTTTGCTGCAGTGTTGACTTGATTTAATAAAGTGAGCTTTGCCGTTGATAAAGAAGGTGCTGGCTTATCACGAGAGCAAGCGACTCTGTCAAGTTGTATGGTCGATATCAACCCGAGTACTTGGTAGGCATCTGTCCTATCAATGAGTGAATAGTTCGATGCTGCTAATATCAGTTTACATGGAACCTTCACTATCTTGGTTAGAAACGAATGTTAAATACAAATGCCACCCACTTTTATTTATCTTTATCACTTTCAGTATCTCTGCAATCTATTTCACTATCACCAAACCGCACAATTGCACCAACATTTCATTAGGTATTTGCACGAGTTACCTTCCTTTGCAAATTGTATTTTGAGAGAAAATGCACAATCAAAATTGTATGAGCGCAAATGAATTATCGTCGAGTTCCTCCTAGATCTACACGTTTCGGCTAATCTGTTGAGCACACAACATATGCACAAGAGGCGCACTGGATCTCTTTAGCCCGCCAATCCTCAGACAATCAGGTCAGGAGAGTTTCTAGAGAGAGAAGTGCTTCTAGTTCCTCTTTAGTGAGAGAAAACATGTGTAAATGCAACTCTGTGCTCTCTATTTATACTCGGGATAATTCCGACGAGCTTCTCTTTCATCTACACCGCATTAAACGCATTGTACGTTACAATATAAAAGCGCCTCGACCACCTGTCAGTCTTTTCAATGAAAATTAAGCACATGATACCAACTTTATCGATGCACATACTATTCTGGATGAATGTCAGATTCGTCGTCATTGCCCCTGAATCCTGATAGTGGCTCTGGTCATGGGCTCGCGGGGCGTCCGACCCATCAGATAGCCTGTCGGACCTGCGGCCGGCCTTTTTCTTTGCTCCGTCGGCCCACTGGACGTGGCGATTCTAAAAGAGCATGCCCAACAAAAACCAACATATAATTACTATTTGAACGTTTAATATCATATATATATTTTTAAAATTCAGAGCTAAAATAACACATGGTCATCCCCATTTATTTCGAGGAATCCGGGCCGCCAGCATGGAATCAATCGCTCCAAGCAATATTCCAACGCAAGAAACGAACACACAGTAATGATATTAATTATTAACATAAAATAAATATTCTCTCACGCGGCACATTTCCCTCACTCTCCCCACTTGTTTCCTTTCCTTTTGTACTTTTCCCCATCGAGCCGCAAAGTCGTCGTGATCGACCGACGACCAACGTCATCATATACGTATCCACACCCAATAGCAACACCCCACGTGGCACCAATCTATGTACAATCTTTTTTTTTGCATTCTCCCCCGTTTCCTTTTCTTTTCCACAAACAACGAAAGCCACGAATCTCTATCCTAGCTGGACACGCTCCGGCCAGCTCTATATAAGCAAACTTCCCGTCTCCATTTCCATTTGGAAAAAAAGAAAATTCTCTCCTCCATCCCGTTTCCTCCGAGGAACGGAATCCAACAATCCGTTTCTCCCTCCTTAAATCTCTAATTTTCCGCTCCTTCTCTCTCACTCTAAATCTCCCTTTCCCACAAATTCGCCGGAGAGAAGAAGATGTGCCCGTCCGGCAGGACCCTCGTGGCGGGGATGGGGAGCGCGGCGCCGGAGCTGAAATCGGCGTTCGACGTTCTCGACGCCGACCGCGACGGAAAGATCAGCAGGGACGACCTCCGCCGGTTCTACGCCGGGTTCACCAACTCCGGCGAGGAGGAGGAAGATATGATCGGGACGATGATGTCCGTCGCCGATTCCGACAAGGACGGGTTCGTGGGGTACGAGGAATTCGAGCGCGTCCTGGGAGGGAATCAGAAGAGGGAGATTTCTTCTTCTTCTTCTTCTTCTTCCTCGTCGTCGGCGGCGGGGGCAGTGATGGCAGACGTGTTCAGGGCGATGGACAAAGACGGGGACGGGAAGTTGAGCCACGGCGATTTGAAGAGCTACATGCACTCCGCTGGGTTTGACGCCAGCGACGATGACATCAGGGCGATGATCAGGCTTGGCGCAGGCGGCGGGGGAGAGAACGACGCCGTTTCGTTCGAGGATTTGCTTAGGATTCTGGCTGTTGAATGTTGATTAATTAATCCTCCCCCAGCTGGTCAAGAGAATGAAAAACAAGCAATTTTTTTTGTTTAGTTTTCTGAATGCCAAATGTTGTTGTTAGATCGCCCCCTTTCATTTTGCCGTGTAGTTTCTTTGAATCGAAGAATAACATTGAGAAATGGAAAATTTTCAAATTGGTGCTTACCAATTTCTGGGAACGAATCTTCTCTCTTCTGGGTTCTGCAAAACCACACAACAGAAATGTGCAGTGAGAGGAGGAAAGGAAAGGTAGGTGGCTGTCAAGAGAGATGTTCATTGTAGTTTAGCGACAGACCAGAAAACAAAAGGATCTATCGACATGTGAATAGCTAGGCCACATTTCGGCAAAACTTCTGCAATTTTATATGACGATAAAAGGTTCACGACAACAAAGTCTATGAAAAAGAGAGACGTTGCCCTCCACAAAATAACGAATAATAGTTCATTGAAGTTAAAAAGGAAGACTGGCATTTGGTCCTACTTTCCTACCAGCCACAATCAGATATCAACAAAAAGAGTACAAAGACAAGTTGGCTAAGAAAGGTCACATCCGTGGTAAATAAATCTATGGTGGTACGCTCTGGTTGTGATTTAGCAAGATTTGTTGTAATGTCGTAGATGATTAGTCTTACTTGTTTAATCTCCGATATTACGAAGGTGAGACTGGACAATGCACAACATAATCTGATAATAGTATAAGGACGAAAGTTTAGTAGTAGAACCATACACAATTGGCATGAGTTGTGCTACAGAATTTAGCCAGCTGGTTTGCAGCTGTCTGATCTCTTTTAAGAGGGTGATAGAGCAATTGCACAATGTTGGCTGTCCTTGCTGTACTGCATAATGTTGACATAAGAGTGATCATGCTGACAACGATGCAACCTAGACAAATAGTAACACCTTGAAAAACAACCATGATTACGAAGACAAATAGTAACACCTTGAAAAACATCCATGATTACGAAGCGAATTCAATATTCTAATTAAACCAGAGACTAAAGTAGTATTGGTGTACGAAACTGCGAATCGGAGAAAGGAGGACAACCCGAGAGTGGAAGATTAACTCATTGTGTACTAAAAGTTGTTCTATAGAATAAGATGCTGAAATTTGATCGCAAACATGATGACGAGAGACGAGGTCATGGCAAAGACATGAACATAATGGGGTTGAGTTTTTCAAAATGATCAATGGAGATCGACAAATTGTTGCATAGATAAGATAAGAAATAGGGATACCCAACCTTACTTTCCCTTCGACTGCAACAGCTCAATGAGCAAGTGAAATAAGCAGAGCCTAACCTGTAGCTGGGCTCAAAGTTCCATCGCGAAATCGTTAAACACCAGCTCGATTTGCATATTACGAACAAGTGCGTCCAATCTTGTAGTCGGCACTGCAAATCAAAGCAAACCAACCTTTTCAACATGCAAAAGGAAGCTCTCAAAGGGAAGATTTTGGGTCTTTACCCATGTCATCGACCTTCTTCACTAGTTAAGGAACTGATAAATCTCAAAAGACAATTTTGACAGCAAAGTGGTCGTCAAGATGAGTCCCCAGAGTACCATAACAGCTGCAAAATTGGATATCATTTGCTTTTAGATACGCATCCAGTTCATACTGTGAGATTTATAAATTACGCACTCCAATAGCAGAGAAATGAGACTGGGTGCTGCTGTAATTTGCTTGATCTAGATATTCAATCAGCAAAGATGAAACCAATAGATTTTCCATCTGCTGCCTAAATCCAAATCCAGTTCATAATCGAAAAGTACAATACGCTGCATTGGTAGAAAATTAGGGTTTCTCCATTGATTTTTCTGGACACTGTTGCACATCTGACGAATTCAGTCGCCACTGAAATCGAATCGAATGCAGCCTATGAATCAATGAGAAAACTGAATCCATAACTGGAAATCGCCATAAGTTGAAGATTCATACCGGATTTGAGGTTTCCAAGCTTAGAGGCAAGTAAAGGAAGGAACGCCAAGTCAGCGGAACCAGCGGTGAAAACTCTGGAGCGTCCTTCTCGTTCCTCCATTCCTGCTTCAGAAGCTCCGCATCACCGGCGGAAATCGACGGCTATCGATCTTAAGCATCTGTCCAGCTCGCGGTAGCCGGCGCATAGCGATAGTGAGGTACGTAGCTAGAACGGAGAGAAATTGTAAGAACCGAAGCGAATTTTGAACTGTTCAGAAAGAAAGAAAGAGGGAAACTGAAATTTTCTGTGACTTCGCTAGTTGGAATTGGCGCCAAACCAATTTGGGAATCCAGGCATCCAGCCATTCGTCCATTCACAAGGAAATTAGATCTATTGGGCCGATAGGAAGGCAACTTAGGGAACGTTTGAGTCGGTGTACTGATTTTGATTTATTTTTGAGTCATTTTTAAAAGATTTTAAAGGAGTGCTATTTAGGAGTGGTCGTATATGATCGGTGAAATCGAACCGAATATAAACTGAACCAACATCGAATTAATATTATTTGGTTCGAAAATCGAAAGGAAAAATGCATATTTCGGGAATCAAAGTACTTTCAACCGAATCGAATTATTGAACCGAATAACTATAATTGCAAGCTTCAAATGATGGATTATTATGTTTGTACTTGTTTTGAGACTTAAATATTTGAATCATGTTAGTGTTTCATGACTTATGTGTTGAAATGTTTGATTTTATCATTGATGATGCATATAATTGTATATTTACTGTTTACATTAAGGGTGAAAAATAATTTAAAAGTGAGAAGTACAAAACCGAATAATTTTATAATTGATGATGCATATAATTGTACATTTAATGTTCGATTCAGAATTTCACACAAAACCGAATTTGTTAGGCCTCACTAAATAAAAACTGAACCGAATTATAATTTGGTTCGGCACGACTAAATCGAACTAGTATTCGTTTCGAATTCGGTTTGAAATTTGGTGACCCGATATGCATAATAATTTTTGATCGGGTTTGACCGAACCGACTGAATACCCACCCCTAGTGCTATCACAGTTTTTGGATGAATTTTTCAAAAAGCATTTTTCTTGGATTTTGAAGGTTATAGATACCGGATTTTGCATGAGACTATTCTCCACCAATGTTGAAGTCTATTAATCATCGATTTGAGTGGTTTTTATGGTATTTTCATAATTTTTAGGCAATTTTTTTTAAGTCCATTTTACTTAGATTTTGAAGGCTACAATCACGGATTCACCCTGAGATTATTTTTCACCGATGATTAAGTCGATTAAGCACTCATTTGCGCAGTTTTTTTTTTGGATCTATTTTTTACAGATTCTAAAAGGGGTAGCATCACAGATTTCAGACAATTTTTTCAAAGAACCAATTTCTTTGCATTTTGGAATGCTACAAATCACATATTCGAGCTGAGGTTATTCTGAATAGTTGATAGAGTATTTTATTTGACAATTTGGGCGGATTTATTTCGGAGAGCATTTTCGTAATTTTTTTGCGATTTTTTGAAATGTCATTTTTGAACGTTACAGATCACTGATTCGGCCTGAGCCTATTATGAACCGTTGATTAATCCAATTAAGCATCGATTTGGTAGGATTTATTCCGGGTCCATTTTTAATAGTTTACAAAGGGGTATCATCACAGATTTCGGGCGATTTTTTCGGAAAACCAATTTCTTTGTATTTGTAAGACTACAGATAACGGATTCTGCGTGAGGCTATTCTCCACAAATAATGAAGTCTATTAATTGAAAATTTGGGGGGAGTTTATTCTGAGGGCATTTTCGTAATTTTTTTGAAATGCAATTTTCCTTTAGAATTTGAAAGCTACAGATCACGGATTGAACCTGTTGCTATTATTCACCGTTGATTAAGTCTGTTAAGCACCGATTTAATAGGATTTTTTTCGGGTCTATATTTTTATTTTTATTTTTGCAGATTCCAAAAGGGTACCATCACTGATTTCATGCGATTTATTCGAAAGGCCAATTTCTTTGGATTTTTAAAGCTACATATCATAGATTCGCAATAAGACTATTTTTCACTGTTGATTAAGTCTATTAAGCACTATTTGGTAGGATTTTTTTCCGAGTCGATTTTTGACAGTTTTCAAATGGGTACCATCACAGATTTCAGTCCATTTCTTGAAAGACCAATTTTGTTGGATTTGGAAGGCTACAGATCACGGATTCTGTATGAGTGCATTCTCCACAGATATTGAAGTCTATTAATCGGTGATTGGGAGTGATTTATTTGGAGGGCAATTTCGTATTTTTTTTGGTAATTTTCTCGAAATGTCATTTTCCTTAGTTTTTGAAGGCTATAGATCAAGGAGTTGGTGGAAGGTTATTCTTCACCGTTGATTAAGTTTGTTAAACACCGATTTGGTAGGCTTTTTTTGGGTCCATTTTTAGTAGTTTCTAAAGGGGTAGCATCACAGATTTCAGACATTTTTTTTAAAGACCGATTTCTTTGGATTTTGAAGGCTACATGATAGACCGTTAGTTACACATGTTTTTACCCCTGCTCTTACTCCGTTTGAGGTATTGATTCTCGTGTTTTAGGCCGATTTCACGCTAGGTTGTGCTTGTTTATGATATTTCAGGTCCTAGTACGTGAATGGAGGCTTGGGAGCGAGTTTGAGGTCGATTGGACGAGGATCGGACGCATGGCGAGGTTCTGAGGAAGTCGCACGGGCACACCCACAACCCGCACGGCCGTGCAAGTGACCAGTTTGGCCGTGCGGGATTGTGCGAGAGCAAACACGGGCACAAGTGAAATCCGCACGGCCGTGCAAAGTGCAATCCTGGCCGTGCGAGATGGCTGAAGTTCGACTTAATGGTACGCCGCGTTTTGAGCCGCACGGGCAAGATGGTGAGCCGCACGGCCGTGCACCCTGGCCGTGCGAGTCGGGGAATTCTGGTTTTTAAGCAGATTTCAGCCAAAACAGAAAGGGAGAGCTGGGTTTTGGATCCCAAACACCCAAGGGACGAACCCTAGAGAGAGAGAGCGACTTGGGAACATTCTTGGA